TGGCACCATGACCCAGTTGGATCAATGGGAGGATGGATGGGTGTTGGGATTCGAGGGTGCATGACTAGACATGGGTGGACAGATGATTTAGCAGAAGGACACAGGGGTGGGTGGATCTTCACGTTCTGCATCGACCATCCCACAGCAGAGCCGGTCCCACCATCAGAGGAGCCACCAACCAAGCCCCGCCTGGGCGAGCTCAGGGTCTCCAACGTCACGCCCAGCTCCGTGCAGCTGGAGTGGAGCGTCCATGAGGGCACTTTTGACTCCTTCACTGTGCAGTACCGGGATGCTCAAGGCCAGCCTCAAGCACTTGCAGTTGATGGTGGTTCACGCACAGTGACGGTGCCTGGACTGTCCCCATCCCGCCGCTACAAGTTCAACCTATACGGGGTGTGGGGACGGAAGCGGGTTGGTCTCATCTCCACTGACACCATCACAGGTGAGGAAATCCCTGGGTACACCCATGTCCTCTGCAGGCAGTAGGAATGGAGAAGCTCAAGAGCCTTCGAAGGTCCCTTGAGCTGGAGGGATATGGGAGGAACATACCCCTGGATTTAGGGGACAGGAGGGGGTGGGAACATTGGAGGTCAGAGGAATGGAGGGATGTTGGTAAGGAAGGCTGGAATATTAGATGAGTGCTGGGGTTGGATGATTAGGTAGTGGGTAGGTGGGTAATGTATGATTGGGAGTGGATGTATGGAGGGATGGATGGATGGATGGAGGGATGGATGGATGGATGGAGGGATGGATGGATGGATGGATGGATGGATGCACATACATGCCCTGCACTGATTCCTCTCCATTGCAGCCCCCGAACCGCAGGAGGAGGAACCAGGTCCACAGCCAGTGCTGGGCGAGCTGAGCGCCACTCATGTCACCTCTGACTACGCGCAGCGGGAGGGTCCCCAAGGGCACCTTTGACTCCTTCACGCTGCAGTACCGGGATGCACAAGGCCAGCTCCAGGTGCTGCCCGTGGACGGGGGTTCCCGCACGCTGACAGTGCCGGGGCTGTCCCCGTCCCGCCGCTACAAGTTCAACCTGTACGGGCTGTGGGGTCGCACACGCCTGGGCCCCGTCTCCACCGACACTGTCACAGGTGAGGAGGCTCTGGCACCAGCCCTGATGAACCACGTTTTGTGGTCAACAGAAGCTTGGGCAGTGCCCGTGCTTGTCCCTTGCTCAAGGGAGGAAGGTGGTGGGTGGTGATTTGGGGATCAGTGGAAGAATGGATGTGTGATAGCTTGGAAGAGTGGAGGGGTACTTGAGTATACATTGATGGATAGATAGATGGATGGATGGATGGATGGATGGTGGATGAGTGGATTGATGGATTAATTATTGGATTCATGGAGGGTCGATAGATGACTTACTGTCTAGCAGAATGATTGCAGTGATCAATGGCTGGATGCAGAGACTGGTTGATGAACTTGCTGTTTTGCATGTTTGGTCAGACTCACAATTGCTGGAGGGACAGTGAGGCGGGTAAGTGGGAGGTTGGTGGGTGAAATGAATATTTGTGCTGTTGTAGGACGTAATGGAGGAATGGATGGAAGGAGAGGATATAAGAAAAAGGGATATATGGATGAATGCATTGATGGATGGTTAGAGAAATGGTGAACCAGTGAATGGGTCCATCTCCTGAATTGTGGCCTCTCTGTTGCAGCCCCAGCTCCACAGGAGAAGAAGCCACTGACCAAGCCCCGCCTGGGTGACCTAATTGCCTCTCACGTCACCTCTGACTCCGTGCAGCTGGAGTGGAGCGTCCCCGAGGGCACCTTTGACTCCTTCACACTGCAGTACCGGGATGCACAAGGCCAGCTCCAGGTGCTGCCCGTGGACGGGGGTTCCCGCACGCTGACAGTGCCGGGGCTGTCCCCATCCCGCCGCTACAAGTTCAACCTGTACGGTCTGTGGGGTCGCACACGCCTGGGCCCCGTCTCCACCGACACCGTCACAGGTGAGGGGGCTCTGGCACCAGCCCTGATGAACAACGTTTTGTAGTGGACAGAAGCTTTGGACGTGCCCGTGGTTTTACCTCCCCTTCGTCAAAGGAGGAAAGGTGGTGGGTGGTGATTTGGGGATCACTGGAAGGATGGATTTGTGATGGTTTGGAAGGATGGAGGGGTACTTGAGTATACATTGATGGATGGATGCATGGATGAATGAATGAATTGACTGATATATGGGCTGACGCATGGATGGATGGATGGATGGATGGATGGATTCATTATTGGATTCTTGGGGGGATGATGTGCTGTCTGGCTGAATGACTGCAGTGGTAGATGATTGGATGCAGAGATGGGTTGTTTGAATTCCTGTTTGCGTGTTTGGTAGGACCCATATTTGGCTGGACTGACAGTGAGCCGGGATAGTGTGAGTCTGATGGAATAAATGAATGTTTCTATTGTTGGAGGATGTAATGGAGGAATGGATTGAAGGAGAGGATATAAAGAAAATGGATGGATTGATGGATGCATGGATGCATGGATGCATGGTCAGATGGATAGCTAGTCGGATGAATGGATGGATGGATGAGCGGAAGGATAAATGGATGGACGGATTGACAGATGGATGCATATTTGGTTGGTTAGAGGAATGGTGGAATGGTCATAGAGCTAGTGAGGGGGTTTATCTCCTGCTTTCTGGCCTCTCGGTTTCAGCCCCAGCTCCACAGGAGGAGGAACCAGGTCCACATCCAGTGCTGGGTGAGCTGAGAACCCCTCACGTCACCTCTGACTCCGTGCAGCTGGAGTGGAGCGTCCCCGAGGGCACCTTTGACTCCTTCACGCTGCAGTACCGGGATGCACAAGGCCAGCCCCAGGTGCTGCCCGTGGACGGGGGTTCCCGCACTCTGACGGTGCCGGGGCTGTCCCCGTCCCGCCGCTACAAGTTCAACCTGTACGGTCTGTGGGGTCGCACACGCCTGGGCCCCGTCTCCACCGACACTGTCACAGGTGAGGGGGCTCTGGCACCAGCCATGGCCGCTTTGGGCACTGGGTTGGCAGCGGGGCAGGAGCTGGGACAGGGCCCAGGGCTTGATGGCAAACGGGAACCTCTCTTGGGTGCTATGAAGGGGGTGGGGGTGGGATGGTGCCTGCAAGGCTCAAGTGTTGGGTGGGTGGTAGAAGATAGTAAGGATGGTGGTACAGGAGTGCTTTAGGCATAAAAAAATAGGGATATTAGTGGATGTTTTATTGGTTGGATGGATGAATGCATGCAGAGATGCATGGATGGATGCATTGATGGATGGATGGATGATCACTGATGAATGGGTGAATGGATTCCTTGATGGATGAAATGATTTATGAGTGGAAGGGTGAATAAACAGAAATATGGTTTTTTGAATACCTGGAGAGCTGGATTGTGATGGAATGCATGGAGGGCTGAATGCATGAATGATGCACCAAAGGATGGTTAGATGGATGGATGGTTGATTGACCCTGAAATTCTTCCGGACCAGGTTTACCTCTGCTAAACCAGTTATAGAATGTACAGAAGGTGGATGGTGGAGATCGTGTCTGATCATAGATTCAGTGGCTGAATAGTAATTTGAGCAGCATGCCTGCCTGATAGAAGGGCTGGCTGGCTGCTGGGACAGGTGGATGGATGGATGGATGAATGGACAGGTGGATGGATGGATGGCTGCTGGGATGGATGGATTTATGGATGGACGGACAGACGGATGGATGCACGCATATACATATGTTCATGCCCTGCACTGGTTCCTCTCCATTGCAGCCCCCGAACTGCAGGAGGAGGAACAAGGTCCGCAGCCAGTGCTGGGCGAGCTGAGTGCTCCTCACGTCCCCTCTGACTCACTGCA